GGCCAATATAGGATCTCAACCGAGCTCCCTTGGTCGATCAGTGTCTTGTGGACCTCCCAATTAGCTACCTCCACGGCGATGACCATAGGATCATCCTAGTTGGGGCTGACGCTAGTGTAGTCGTCATCGGTGAAGGTGATGGGCAGCGAGCTCTGGTGCGAAGCCGAGGTAGTGGAGTGGACGCTGTTGATGTTGCGCAGGTGTCTCTTCCGGGACCCCCTACAAAACGACCTGCAATTGTGTTGATTACTCCCCGTAGGGGAGCTGACCCCATTTCCTGGCTTACCTCGGCTTGCACTGATCCGCGTGCGAGCTCCCGAACCACGACCTTTGCCTCGTCCTCGTCCCCCATAGCCTCCTCGGTGACCCTGCTATCTTTGGACATACTGGCCGAGGTGGCCTGCTTGTATGAGTTCTTCGATACGGTCTCGGAGTGTTCGACACTCTTCAGTGGTGTGACTGTGGTTTCTGTGATACCGACAGTGTTTGGACTTGTCCGCACTGTTGGGGGTGTGACCTGGTGGTGGCAGGGTGAGCAGGTTGTTGTTACTGGCCTCCTCCAGGATATGAACTCGGGGCGTATTCAGGGGAGTGTAGAAGTCATATCTCCACCCCTTGTTTGTCCGAGCAGTTTTCTTGAACTGGCTGTCGTTGGTGACCTTCATCTTGTCTTTGTGGCCACTGTCAAGTTTCGCTTGTGATTTTTCGCGAACTTGATCACGGAAGGCAGAATGTTCCTCCATCTAGATGTATCCAGCAGCACGGGCGCGGAGCTCGTCCATATCACGAGGAGCTTCACGACATAGGCTGTCAACGAACGGTCCGGGCTTGAGTGCCATGAGCATGGCGTGTAGAGCGACCTTAGGGTTTAGATTCCGGATCTTTACCGAGATGGCGGCGAATCGTTCCATGAACGTTCAGAGTGGTTCATCGTCACCCTGTCGGAGACTGGCCAGGGCAGCTGATGTTATGTGATGAGGTCAGCTCGTCGCATACTGTGTTGTGAACCGTCTGACCAGGGTGCCGAAGCTGTCAATTGACTCGACAGGTAGCTGGGTGTACCAGTTGAGCGCGGCCCCTTTGAGCGAGGTTGGAAGAACCCTACACAGAATAGCATCGTTATTGGTGTAGAGGTTTACCTGTGTTGTATATAGGTCGATGTGCTCATCCGGGTCCGTCGTGCCGTCGTAACGGTCGAGGTGGAGAGGTTTCCATCTGTGAGGGAGCGGCGTCTCCATGATGCCATCCACGAAAGGGTGACGGCGGAAGGTTGCTTGATCCCCCGTGACATGAGTAGGGGCCTTGCTGAGTGAGACCAATGTGTGGCAGGTCGTGGAGTCGGTGCCCTAGTCGCAGTTTGGGGCTGAGAGACCAAATGCCCTTCTTCCTCGTGGAGGTTGCTCGCCTCAGGAGGATGATCAGAGGGGCGTCGAGGGAGCTGGGCGCAAATTCGCTCGTTTTCAGGTCGTAGTGCCGCTAGATCAGCTTCATTGGCAGTCCGCATTGCGGCTAGGTCGGTTTCGTGCTTGGCACGCATGTTTTGTAGATCGGTGTCGTGTTGTTGCCGCATCTGTTCGACCTGTTCGATCAGCCTTCTCAATGCCGCTTCGTTGTCCATGCTTGTCGTGCGATCTGCGTCGTCCGTTGCGCGTCTACTATGGCTTCGGGTGAATACCATAAGCGTGGCCGATAAGAGCTGTCTTGATCGGCCCCACGCTGGGCGCCAAATGTTCTTACCGGAGATCTGCTGTAGAGATGATCCGCCAAGTAAGATCGGTGAGCCTCTTTCACTGGTACGTGTTGTGCTCCAAGATGGGGGTGATACCTGCAAAAGAGACTCTGATGCCAAAATTAGGGTTTGTATGAGTATGAGTCTCGTATAAGTAATGCACGTACCTTGGTGTGAATTAAGGTTGCATTGGGCCTTGGGCCTGAGATCAGTTACAATCTGACTGCGCCTATCCGAGGTTATCTTGCACTGTGATGCCGAGCTGTGAACTCGGCCTCGCAGTACGGATAGTACAATTTTATATCCCAATAACCACAATGAACATTGCAATAGCCATAATAATCACAACCGCAACATCTACGATTGCAACTGAATCTACCACACTAATCACAATTTATAACCATGCTCAAAATATATGGTTCACACCTTTAGCCTCTTGTTACCTCAAGTCCACTATCAACTTCAGACTTGCCGACATGAAACGTGTTAAAGTGTCTTACTTTGTGTTTGTACATCCGTTGAGTTGACGTGCATTTCAAAGTACAAAATAAAAAAGCATGAATTTTAATAGATCTTTTGCAGGTACTATCCCTCTCACTGGAATATTCGGTCGAAACTCTCATTCGGCCTTCAAAGTACGAGAAGATTACTATTGTGCCCTTCAGACAGGTACAAATATATTTTCTAACTATTCACTTGTGAGTGAGGGCAACATTCAAAATCCTCAACACACCCATCGTGAACTCGTCAAAAGGCAACTTTACTTTGAGATCCTGAACGAGGCAATCATATATGTAGAACGATTCCATTTTCGCGGCATGTTGGTCGAGGCAAACCATGTCAGGATTCGAAAAGGCGTTGTTTCGGCACGACCGAACGCCGATTGGATACGGCTCCTCCTTAGCATCGAAAGTTAGGCAATTCGTATACTCCAGAAGGTTGGTGATCATGATCGTGTCTCGGTAGCGCGAGTAGTATGAAGTCACCTCTCCATTCACCCACTCGTAGCCAGATACCTCGGACGGCCCATATCGTTGCCGATTCGAAACACGCTTTGTTTTAGGCTGAACCTCGGAACTCCCGCTAGTGGAAGCTTCCCCTGAAGATGTTGCACTTTCATCAGGCCTTTCGGCATGTACCGGGGACCGAACTATGCTTGAACGACTGGAATCACTGGACGACGACCCCTTGGACGATGATGACCGAGAGCTACTAGCCGAAGAGCTTTCGAAAACGTCAGCCATCATAATGAATACTTACCAAAGTTTTCAAAGCACAAACAAAATCACTCGGCACGCTTGATTCGGTCTCACAGTTGTTCGGCTGGCACACCTCGGCTAAAAGCAATATGTGTGAAAGGCCCTACCACTCATAGCTATATATAGCCAGGGAAAAGAAAGGGAAATTTCAAAATTTAAAAAATGTAACCGTCCGATTTTCAAGATCCAACGGTTCAGATTGTGAAAACCTTTCGACTTACCCTTAACTAACAACCTCACTTTACCCTTGAAGAAGGCATGCCCTCCTCCAAGGCTGGGGGGCAAGTGTACGGGTAAAGGCGTTCGGCCACCGCATAACCAAAACCCTATCGGTCACCGAATGGCCGAATAATATTACCCTTAATCACAGATTAAAGGTTAATCGCACCAATAAACCGATTAGGACGTATTACCTAATACGGTAATCATGTTGCAGGGCCCATGGGGATCAGGGCCCATAAATGTCAGTATAAATAGCTCATGTCACGAGGTAACATCACTATTCATTAATTACCATCGATATCTGTGCTTGTCCTGACTTGAGCGTTGGAGTGCCTTTTGCAGGTACTATCCCTCTCACTGGAATATTCGGTCGAAACTCTCATTCGGCCTTCAAAGTACGAGAAGATTACTATTGTGCCCTTCAGACAGGTACAAATATATTTTCTAACTATTCACTTGTAAATTGTAATGGACGTAATCACTAGGGTCAAAATTTAAAAAATGTAACCGTCCGATTTTCAAGATCCAACGGTTCAGATTGTGAAAACCTTTCGACTTACCCTTAACTAACAACCTCACTTTACCCTTGAAGAAGGCATGCCCTCCTCCAAGGCTGGGGGGCAAGTGTACGGGTAAAGGCGTTCGGCCACCGCATAACCAAAACCCTATCGGTCACCGAATGGCCGAATAATATTACCCTTAATCACAGATTAAAGGTTAATCGCACCAATAAACCGATTAGGACGTATTACCTAATACGGTAATCATGTTGCAGGGCCCATGGGGATCAGGGCCCATAAATGTCAGTATAAATAGCTCATGTCACGAGGTAACATCACTATTCATTAATTACCATCGATATCTGTGCTTGTCCTGACTTGAGCGTTGGAGTGCCTTTTGCAGGTACTATCCCTCTCACTGGAATATTCGGTCGAAACTCTCATTCGGCCTTCAAAGTACGAGAAGATTACTATTGTGCCCTTCAGACAGGTACAAATATATTTTCTAACTATTCACTTGTAAATTGTAATGGACGTAATCACTAGGGTTAGTCGTCCTTTAAAATCCTAATCCAATACACCCCCCTTAGTCTTAACACGGACCAATTGCATGGAATCACTGTGAGGGTGTTGATTTTCCATTAAAAAGCTTCTAAAAGCGAGGAGTTCAATATCACTGGACACATGAGTTTGACGTGCTTTGAAGCTTGTTTGGACAACGGAGGAAAAACCAAAATCATTTGAACTGAAGTCAAGGTATCTCAGCTTTTTTATTGGAAAATTTTTTATTCATAAATTTTTATGAGATATTGTCCTCTTTGTGTCTTAGCCTTCACGATTTTATTTTTGATCATCAAGTCTCTCTATCACATTATATATTTGTATTATATAAGTTTGTTATTTTTTATTTTATTTTATCAATGTTGGACTTGAAAAATGTGTGAAATTCTGTTTGTTTCATTGCAAATAGAATCTTAAACAGGTACTAAATGTGTTAAAGGAACTGGTTGAATTAAGCTTAACTGAAATTGAAAAAATTATCTTTAAAGTACTCATTATGTTTATTTTTTTAATTAAAATACGTGTTCTTCGGTTGAATGCATGAAAAGATAGTCTTTCTTCCTTCCTCTCTGGCTTCCAAGTTACCTCCTCTATCCTTTCTTAATCCTTTTTCCAGTCTTCATTTGACTTTGACTGCGTGGAAAATTAGGAGTCATCTCTCATTTTTTTCTACAAACTTCTTCATATTAATCTACTGTTATCTCTCACACTGATTCTTTAGAACTCCTACTACACCCCTTTCATCCTCAAGTGTCTTTTTTATCTTTGTTATGAGTAGCATGACAATTCCGGCATTCTCGTACTCTGCTTCCTTAACCTTCCAATGGATGTATGATGTTTTCCTTAGTTTCCGGGGTGCAGATACTCGCACGGGTTTCACCGGTAACCTTTACAATGCTCTGCATGAAAAAGGAATCAACACCTTCATCGATGATCAAGAGCTTGGAAAAGGAGAAGAAATCACGCCAGCTCTAATGCATGCGATTCAAAATTCTAGGATTGCCATTGTGGTCTTTTCAGCAAACTATGCATCATCATCTTTTTGTTTGGAAGAACTTGTGAATATCATGGAGTGCATAAATCACAAGGGTAGGTTGGTTTGGCCTGTTTTTTATCAAGTGGATCCATGTGATGTGCGCCATCAGAAAGGGAGTTTTGCAGAAGCACTAGCCATGCATGAAAGAAAAATTAATGACAAGGAGAAGGTGAAAAAGTGGAGGCTTGCATTGCAGGAAGCTGCTAATCTCTCTGGCTGGCATTTCACATATGGGTGAGTATGCTTTTTGTCACTCAGTTTTTTTCTTTTTAATGTTTGATTTGTAAGTTTAGAAAGTTTTACTTTAGTACTTTGAAATAAATCTGATAAACTAAATTAATTCTTGTACTAGTTTTTTCACCAACAGTGTTAATTTTAACTGATGTAGCAAATCGTCAGTCTGATGTTACATGTCTTACAGTTTGCTATATGTCACTACGTTTAACACTAATGTGCCAGGTTGCACATTTTGCCATGTCACTAAGTTGACTTATGGTATGTTTGAGTAACAGTTGAGTTGAACTCAATTAAAGTTGGAAAAAATGCACAGTTTTTTTTTTTTTTTTTTTTTTTTTTTGATTG